CACTATAACTCCTCCTCTGTATTCTTTAGTAATCAGATCACTGTTTTCAGAAAGAGAGGTCCCTTCTCTGCCAAAACTCCTCATTGATACCCTTGGATCTACAATTGTTTTCCTCTATTTATGGAGAATTCCTACTAAATTCTTTCTCTATTTATGAAGACTGTGTCATCTGGGCGTCACATCTGGCATCTGAGATTGGAAACATAAAAACCAATATCCACATACTGAACCTTGTTATGAGAGAATTAATTTATAGACAAGTACATCAGACCCCACTGTGCTGGGTAAATCCCCAAGTGTTGAAACTTCCTGCTTTAAAATAAAAGTAGCTGGGTCCCCAGGAAGTGTATGGGCACCCTTATGTCCATGCTGTGTCCTGACTGGAACTGAATTCTGCAGACTGTGACCATCAAAGTAGAAGTCCTCAGGGAGTGGGCTATACTCTGGGCACATGCAAATCTGCAGGGCTTGGCAGGGCTGGGCACAGATGCAGGACTAGCTCTTCTCACACATTCAGCAGAAATTCAGTGTCTGCCTGTTTCCCCGGGCATCACATATTTGCCCACAGAGTATGTTCTAATTTGGGGGGGGGGGGGCAACAAGCAGCCTCAGCCTTGCCCCCTCTGCATGGCCTGTTAGTTCCATCTCCTCTAGCTTCAGCACATTCTGAACTTGCTAGATTCCATCTATGACAGGAACTGTCCAATAGGACACAATTTCATCATATGCATGAGTGTTCTAGCTCCTTTTCTTGGTACCCATGAATATCACTGAGGTCAGGGCAGCTTCCTCTTTACTCTAATTCCCTGACACAGTGTTTCATACATGGAAGAAAACATGGGGAGCCACAATATATTTTAAAGAGTGTCACTTACCTGACCCAGCTGTCATGTACAGCTAAGCATCTTTATTCCTCCATCTCTGAAGACTTGGTCCCACTGCTTCCATCAAAGCCATATAAGATCAGGGATCTCTCTCTTCCCATCTGAACACTATGAACTTCTGTCCTAGCTGCTCATGATTACACATCTCCATGCCTGCTGTCCCTGGGTGCTCAGGTTCATGCTTCTGCTCACTATAGTCCCATAACTCAAGTAACTGTCTTCCGAGATGGATGTCCTTCCTCTACCAAGTTCTCATTGCTGCCCTTGAATGTCCTGTGATTCCTAAGTGTGCATTTCTTCCATCAACAATTATCTAGCAGTTCCTTAAAGAACCTAGTTATAATGGCTGTTTTAGGGCTGCAGGACTCAAGCAGGGCGAGGGAGAAACATGTGTGAGTGCAGTCTCATTGGTCCTGAGGGTGCCCCTAATTGGGGTTAGTTGTACCTTTGACTCACTGTGGGCATCCAAGAAAGAGGGAAGAGCAGATTACTCAGAGGGATGAGGTTCCTATGTAAGTAACAGAGTCCAGGCATGGTGAGGGGGACACTCTATGAGGCACAAAGTGGAAATGGCCAAGAAGTGGTGTCAGAGTGCAGCAGGTGTGTGGGTGTGTGGGAGGAGTGGGGACAACCTCCAGAACCCACATTTCTCTTCATTCCCTGCTGAACTCTTTTTCACTTGCTTACATACTTCTTTATCTCTTTATCCTCCTTAAATCCAGGGGCCCTGTGGGCAGCCATTAATAACTCTGCTCCATTCTGAATGAGAAGAGATTGGACAAGATTAAAATATGCAGGTTTCCAGAACTTTGTAGATTCAAGGGTGTCAATGAGGAGCATTGAAGAGAGGGAACCTCCCCTTCTGAAGACTTTAATCTGATTACTATATAATACAGAGGAGGAGCTGTAATCTGAAAATCCATGGAAGATTAAATGTGGATATAGATAATCACAAGCAGAGATAAGAAGGTCACTCTCATTCCTCTGATGGATAGAGACACCTCCTGACCTTGGATGACTTGGATGTATGTAGAGGGACACAGCATTCATGAACAATCTCTTGCTTAGCTGGAGAAGCCATTAAGAGTAAAGACAGATCCTGCTTATTCTTATAAATTGTGACCCCCCCCCATATTTACATTGATTTTCTCATTAACAGTAAGGGTACCAGGGAAATAGACCAAAGAGGAGCTGGTCTCATCTCACTAATATCTGCATGTGCTCAAGCAACACTCATTTAACTTACTTGCAGTTAATGCATTTCTGACCTGACTGAAAGCCCCTGTCAGGATGAAATGGAGATCAAGAAAGCACATGGCCACCTTCAAGAGATCAAGTAATCCTGTACACTCAGGCACAAGGAGGATGCTGTCCTTTGTTTCTCAAAAGGAGCACATTATCCACAGCCAAGTCCATGGTGACCTGTTTACTCTAGAGACACTTGGGCACCCTGGACCTGTGCTGAGTGACTGGTAGGAGCCTACCCTGCAGCTCTGCTCAGCCTGCCCAGCCCTGCTGGTGCTGGAGGTTTGGTCCAGTGGGGCCAAGATGAGAGATGATTGATCCTGTAAGATGTGGGCCTGGTAGGAAGGGGTCAGGTCTGGAGCTGCTGCCCCTGGAAGGACAGTGCGGTTTTCACACACTGAGGTCATCCTCAGCAGAGTGGGTTGTCATGAGGCCACACAACAAGCCTGGACACTGCAAAGTGCATCTGGTTCCCTGTCCACATTCACAGCACTGTGACACAGGCCAGGGGGCCTCACCAGAGGATGAGTGGGACTGCCCAGCCTTGGACCCTCAGCCTTGAAAACCATCAGTTAAACCTCTTTACTTAAACAGTACTTGCTTAACTCAGATGTTTGCTATAGCAACATATAAATGACCAATATGTGCTTCTTGTTATTAAGGTTTTAGATGCAAATTTCCTTAATGAGGTGCATTGGAAATTAAGAAACTCTATCTGAAATAATTGTGTCCCAAAGTTACTCTCAGATCTCATGGATATGAACTACTCAACAGTGTAAGATGCCGATTCTCACCCAGCAGGTGGTTCTGGAATTCTGCACTGGAACAGCTCTTAATGAGGCTGATGATGCTGTTCACCCTGAACCTTTTGAAAAGGGTGCAGGTCTCACTGATTTGCTTAGTGCCTAACTTTTGCTGAGCCTGGCTTTGAAATCATGATCCTCCTGA